GGTCAGGTCAGGTCAGCGAGTGGGCGAGGTCGAAGGTCCTTATTTCACCATGTTGACCTCATAAGGGGTAATCAATTGTTTTATTATACCGATATAAGTTAAGGCAATTTTTGTAGGCTTTCTTAGTAAAATAATCAATTGTGTATTAGACCTACGAACTGTTATTATCAGTGTTCCATCGGGATCGGGATTCGCTAGTGAAGTTGTTTACTTTCGCCTGCAAGTCTTGTAAGTTTTTGCACCGCCGATTTATTAAAACACTCTATGATTGTCAGTAGCATGCATTTTTATAAATTCACAAATACCATTCCCGAGTACAATGACAATCTGGTGCAGACTTTTAATGTACAAGAGAGCCGCGTCTGCATTCGTTGAATTTGACATTGTAACGAAAACTTGTTTCAATGAAAACGATAAATGTTATGACGCATATAAAGGCCAATCGTGTTCCGTATCCTAAGAATACTACACATATTTTTATAACGGCATTTTTTGTAATGTACAATCACTACTGTATGCATATTTTTTTTTATTTGAATGGAATTTGGATTAACAGGTCATTTTTAGCGGTCATTATTTTTATTGACCGGTCATTATACCCCACGTGCAATGATTCCTAGGTCATTATTGCTGTAAACGGTACTTTTTGGAGTCATTATTGAGTTTAAAAGCATCCTAACAATCCAATCAAATTTGAGTATTCTTAATAGAGGTATAATAAATATATTCATTTAATAATTCTGCAAATCCGGGGGGGATCCGACCCCCCTCCCAAGCTGTTCGTGTTGTTCTTTTTTCCTTAAGTGGGGGACACAAATTCTCTAAATTACCTTTTTTTATTTTTTTTTTTAACTTTTATTGCTTTAAACACTTAAATAAGCGCTATGCATGACTGATTCTACATAACTATTATGCCACACACTGGTATCGCTGAGTTGTTTTGGAAATAATTTATATTTTTGACATTGTTCATTTTGATGATAACTTTTAAAATGATTCAGCCTTTTGATAACTTTACAATTCTTTTTTTCTTATCTGCGGATCTGATTTTAAACATCATTAAACTTTAATTAGAATTTATCCTCTTTACCATGAAGTGCTACGGTAGAAAAAGTGAGTAGCTGTCCTAATTCCCCAAATTTCAATTTTCAAAGACGTAAAACTGCGTGTGAGATAAATATTTATTGACTTCATTCTGTAAAGAGAGGATTTTGAGAACCGAAAATTCATCAAAAGAATCAATATTCTTATTTGATGCCACGTTTTCAGTGACCTCATATTGCCAATGTTGAAAAGCTATTCATCTTAGTCTATGTCTTCAATAAAATGTATTACATTTTTAGATAATGATCTACATTTGTAATGAAGAAATCAGCAAAATATCAATAGATTTATGTTTATATAAATAAATAATGTTTGCCAGAGTAAATCTGGAAGTTTTTGTTATAATTCAAAAAAATGAGTACAATTTTTTTTTATAGATATATGTTGAAAATGGCACAAAATTACAAATTTAAACACCAAAGAAAACTTCCGATGTTTTAATACTTTTAGAATTTATTATTTATGCCATTATTGTTCAACATTAGTCAAAAATATAAATCAATTAATACATGGGAATTTACGTTTTTGTTATGGATCGTAATAATATAAATATTTTGTTATCTTATGGGCTGTATGCCTGCTGTTGCTCTGATGTTTGCTATATGTTGAATCATCATCATTAGTCTCCGATATCAATGTAGAGTATTTCCTTGTAATACAGCATGTAACCATTAGACGATTACTAATTTTTTTTTTTTTTTTTTTTTTTTTTTTTTGGTGTTATTATTGCCACATGCTTCAAATGTTAAAAAACAGATAATCTTCTGCATATAATGAAGGTTAAATTAATTGCAAAATCCAAAAATTCATATTCAACATTCAATGAAACTACACATTTCTTACATTATACATAGCTATATTTCATAACCCAGAGTTAATTTTTATTTAACTGTAATGTTTTTGTATAATATTTATTCTAAAGTTTTAATCTCCTAACATTAAAGATGAAACCATGAAAAGACCGCACAGAAATGAATCTTTCGAACGTGAATAATATTTCGATTTTGGTAAAGACTTAAAGAGAATGCTGTTTTTTCATTGATTGACATTGCTGCACTGTCCTCACCACTTTGAACCAGTCATGGTAGCCTACTGGTAGGGCATTCACATCGTGATCGAGAGGCCCAGGTTCGATTCTGGTTTGCCGCGTCACCTACGACGTACACAAAAGTAGATATGGTTCTTTCGCCAAGCGTCCGGCATAAGAAGTGAAAGCCACAGGTCTTTCGGATCGTACAGTAATAACCAAGGTCCCCTATCAAGCTAGGCGTTGGCACGATTAAGAACCCTCACTGCTCAAAGGCCCTAAGTGTCGAGTATAGGTCTTTATATGAGTGTAAAATTATCGAATTCGACGTAAAACAACATAACAATCAATCAATGCTTGGATGACTTGATGATATGTTGTCAACAACATCTAGGTGGAACAAGAGACGTTGAGTTTTTCCCATTCTAATGATAATTTGGTACACGAACCTTCTACTTTCCTTTGGAAATATTGTACAAATAAACAGAGATCAAATAAGAGAGAAAATAGACATATCCTACGAGCAAAATATACGGAGTCGTAGATTGGTATATAGTATTGAAATTATTCTGGATGCAGGGGTTATGAAAAAGTTCGTGGACTAGCGCTATAAAAATGAAACCATTGAATTTTTGAATATCTAATAAGCATCATCTTTTCTAGCTATACAATAAATTATAAATCAAGTCTTCTTTTTAAAATAAATTGTTAATATTTTTGTAAACAATGGTATGTCCAGGAGGCGCAACCACAAACGTGACGTATTTTCTACCCGAGCGTATGTGAAAAAAAAAATCCTGTTATACGAGTAAGCATTTCTGTCATCAAAAAATCTCGTTTATTCACTCAGGTGATATGGCACAATTGTTTTGTAAAATTTGCAATTTTTTACTTCCTTCAGTAAGTTCCATGCAAATGTGTAGTAAATTTTATATGGAATGTCCAAACAATTGAGGGGTTAAAATGACGTCAGAAAGGGGGAGGGGTGTCTTTTTCCAACACTCTATAAGGTTTCACCCCTGAAAAAACTGGCATAGACCTAGAAAATGATTAAACAGGCGACAGAGAAATAAAGTACATCTAGAGTTCGTGTTTTTAATCCCCACAAAAACTTCAGAGAGAGGATGGACGCACAGTTAATGTCAATTTGTAATCAAGGTGTCCAAAGTCAGTCACAACGAAAAGTGACGTTGATCATATGTGGTAGACATTGAACGCCGACAAGCAAATTATGCTGTAATTATCAAATGAGGATCTCTCGCTACCTATAGATCCATTTACAATATTATATGCATTGAAGTCAGCTGTTCAGGACATTGTAACGTCATAAAACAAGGCGATTTTGTCTTTACTTAACTCAAGCGTATATCATCAAGATAAGTGTATGGAGGCAGATGGAGCGGTCATTGTAAAACAATGACGTTGTTGGACGTCATGAAACTAAACGGCAACTGCACCTGGTGATCATATAACGCCTTTCTTATTTAATGATAATCAGACAAATTATCAACGTATCAGTCTAAAATTTTTAACACTTCTTAATCTATTGTTGTTTTATGTTCCTTATAAATTTGTAACACCGACTACATAGTATCAATTTTATTGCATCTGTCGACGAACTTTTTCATCTCCCCTCGTAAATGATGCATATACCTGGTATCAAATTTCTAAAACATGGAGAAATTTTACTAATTCTATATTTGTTTTATTTTTTTGGCCATCAGTCTTATAAATCCATATTTTTTAATGACTTTATGGACATACTTGAGAAACATTCAATGAAAAATAAAACTTTATGCTGTAAACTTATACATTTAATTTATATGAATATATATTTTGTTGTTAATTTCATGATTCGCTAAAACATTTCGCATAATTTATCCTTAAACATTGCAAAAATGAATAGACTGATGATACTGTATTTATCTCTCTTTGATAGAACTGAAATGGAGCCTCTGTAAGGAAAAGGGAGTTCACAAGAAGCTTATTCGCTTATAGAATGAAATATGAAGATAGCGAATAGTATTCAATCTCGAAAGTCCAATGAAGCGATACAAATTTGGAGCAGAGCAGACACGTACCTCAAGATTGAGAGGTGAGATCAGGTGCCATGGAGGAGTCAGCATCCCCTGCCGACCTGTCACACCCAGCCTGTGCTTCTTGTCATAATGGGGAAAAAAAGGAAAAATCCGTAGACAGATCAGTGCATAAATAATGGCTAACAATAAATATGAAAAACGTCAGTCAGCATTTGACTCAAAGATAGGTTGTATGTGCTGACAAGGTCATTGTATCGACCATAAAGCTTGCGAAATGATGACTTTAAACGAGACAGTTGATATCCTTGTTTCATCAACTTGTTCGTTAATAGCTTGTCTTGTTTTAGAAATTGTAGAACATGCCCTTGCTTTTCGAATCAATTTCGAGATATACACCCCATATGCAGGTCTTAAGGGTATATTGCTACATAAGTATGGGAACTTGACCATTGAAAAGTTGAAGTCATCAGGTTTATCATAAAGCTTTGTTGTTAGGTTACCATTAACGTTGAATGCATTTTTGCGCTAAAAGAACTGAATTCATCACCAAGAAATAGCATTATTCTTTACTAATGAATGTTTTAAGTTAATGTAGATGTACATGACGAAACTTTTTATTTGTCATATCCAGGTAGACACTATTTATTGAAAAAAATTACAGGTATGAATTATGTTGGAAATCGTTATGAAAAAAACATTAGTTTGAAATTGGAAACATTTTTCTCATGTTACAGTTAATGAAGGATGGCATGCTTCCGCTAAAACACATGTGCAGTTTATAAAATAAACAACAAAAAAGTATTTAAAACCAGCCATTATACCCGAAAAAGCTACAACAAGCAGGAAAATGGGAAATAAGTGCGGACATAGTAAGTTAGTTTTCTCAATTTAAGAAACAAATAACAATGCTTGATTTCTTTCAGTTACTTATTATCCATTAATTCTTACATTTATTTAAGTCTGCTAATTTCTTTGTGTCACCCTAAATTACCCTAGATAGCCAAACCTAAATACAACTATATTAATTTGAATAAGGTATTCTCACATAAATTTTGTAATATATCTTTTTTTTTTATTTTTAGCATGCAATTATGGAAAACGTATGTACATATGAACCAACATTGCAATTAAATCTTTTTAAATAATTGCGACAGCATGTCTTGACAACTTTTGTTTGTATGTCTTGACAACTTTTGTTTGTCAAAAAGAAATGTATAAAAAATTTCAGATCTTTGAATGTCTCATGATCTCTCGAATGACAAACTATATAATAATGATACTTGAAAAAAGTATTTGAAGGCACTACAGGTAGAAACATTATTTGTAATGAATTATTATAACCATCAAGAGATCAGCATCAATTTCATTTCAATTTTCCCCTGAATTATAGTTGTCTAATCAAATAAATCTGAGGTACATTTCACTGTTACTAACACCGATAATTTATATTCTATTCTGAAAGCCAAATTAACTTTGAAAAGAAAAGTTCAGTTTTTAGATGAAATAGGATATTCGTATTAATGTTTGATTAATTGTTTTATAAATATAAGTTTCTTAATCAAAGGTGCGATGGAATTAAACCCACTGCAGAATCAGAATGAAGGTAAATCACATGGTCATTTGGTGTTCAAATAATGTCATGTAGGTTTTCAAAATAATTATTTTCTTGAGTAAATTTTGATCTGATGAACTTTCTCTGTGATGGAATTTTTTTTCAATAGATTATTTTATCTTTAAGCAAATCTTCGGGTATATGATATCTGAAATATGCTATATGCATTCCAGACAGACTCATTTAATTTTTTCCTATGTTTTATATATATATATATATATATATATATATATATATATATATATATATATATATATATATATATATATATATATATATATATATATATATATATATATATATATAGTTTAACAAATAATATTAAAAAAATAAATAAATTAACCTTTAATGAATTATTTAGTTTTTGCGATGCAAAGAGCAACTACCCTCTGTTTTGCAATTTTGGCTGTCAAAATGTGTATGAGCAAGCGGTTCAACAAAGCTCCTCAGAGTCCCGAAGAAATGAAACTGAAAAGCCTTTGGATTGAGGGAGTCGATAAAATCAAAGATACCAGCGGAATTCCCAAAGGTTTTAACCCATCCAAGGAAACAGATGTCATCGTACATGGATACCTTGTCAACAGCTATCTACCGCTCTTGCAAACCTTAGCTCAACGACTAAAAAAAGTAAGAATATCTAACAAAAAAAAATTGAATTCCGTTAATTACATCAATCTTTCTAGATATAAAATGTTTCATTTTCTCATTGAAGCGGCATTTATGCTGTAACAGGAGACGAAAAGTTTACCCTTCCGTAGTCATCTCCTAATACAAATGTTAAAAAAAATTCTTGTGCATTATAGCACAAGGATTTTGATACCTGTGTTATTATTTATGTAAATTTTTTTCAGAAAAACCACAATGTTTTGTTGATTGACTGGGAGCTTGGTGCTCATAGGAACTACGCTCAGGCCGCTGCTAACACTCAAACTGTCGGGGCTTTTGTATACCAAGTTCTGAAAAAAAACAAAATTCCATGGAAAAAAGTCCATATCCTTGGTCAAGGATTAGGAGCCCATGTCGCAGCGGAAACAGGCAAATTATCGAAAGCGAAAATTGGCCGAATTACTGGTACAAAATTGTATTTCTATGTTATGTTATTTCAAAGGAAAATATTCATATTTCATATTCTTTCCAAAGCTGTAGCGTAAAAATACTTAATGTCCTAAAATACAATTTCTGTGCTCTCGCCCTCGGACCAAGGGAAGAGAAACATAAAATGTTTGGTATAGATCGTAACTGGAGAAATTAATTGATCGGTTGACATAGCTCCGCATTTAATATGTTTAATTTAAAACACCCTTAAACACGCGAAAGACATTCGAGATATTCTGGTTTTAGGTACATTTACAATGCACTATTCAGACTAGAGGCGCGCTAAATAAAAATCAATACAAACTGGGCGTCATAGAGAAGGAAAACTTTCAAAATATGTTGAAAATTAAAAAGAATGGAGGTAAGAAGGAAAAATTACTCTGAAAACTAAACGCAATAAAGGAGAAAAAGATAGGAAAAAAGTTTGACGCACATACAAGGAGATCCTGGCTTAAATTCTTGACCCCAATGTCCTGGAAAACTGGGACAGCCTTAACAAATATTTAGAAAAGTATTGTTTAATATAGTAATATAGTAAATACTTAGATAATTTGATTACTATGAAACTTTACTTAATGACTTTTTTTCAAACAGATTTCAATGCTTAAAATCTATTTAAAGCAATACCAAAAGTGTTAAAACTGGAAATTATATGTGAATATACAAGTAATGTTTCCATTTAATAACAAAATATGTTTATGCATGAATTGGAGAACATAAAATATAACAATCTGATAGATTGATTGATTGTTGTTTAACGTCCCATTCAAGGTTTTTCACTCATTAAGAGACGTCACCGTATGCCGGTGAAGGGCTTCAAATTTAGACCTATACTCGGCAACTAGGGCCATTGAGCAGTGAGGGTTCTTTATTGTGTCAACGCCTTCTGTGACACGGGACCTCGATTTTAAAGGTCTTATCTGAAAGACCCGTGACTTTCACTTCTAGTGCCGGGTGCTTGGCGAAGGAAGAGTCAATACCTTTGTTAACGTCAGAGGTTTGACGCGGCACTGCGAACAAGAATCGAATCCAGTCCTCCCGATCACAAGCGAGCGCCCTACCACTACGCTTACGTGACCGGTATATAACAATCTGAAATCCACAGTAATAATAGTTTGGTTTACTATAATAAAAATTTTACTATAGTGAAAACTAAAGTAATTTTTGTTGGGGCGATGCTTATTTTGTAGCACATGCAACTTACATTTTCTTGGTTCTGAGAATGTATCGATATAATAGATATTATTATACCTCATTATATTTTTTCTATACAATTATCTCATTGGTTCTAGATTATCAAGTGACAGGACCATAAATTTCATATTTCCCCCTCGTCGTCATGCTTTTCATCATATTCAAACTCTTCGGAAACCAAATGCATTTTCCCGCAATAGTTATCGTTGAACGAAAACTTTCGAGAGTAGTAGACGTCACATTAGCCTGGTTCACGTCACAACTTCTGTAAATTGTTTCAGTAACATAACGTTGAAATTGAAAGTGAATTTTAGAGCGGTGCCGAATTTGAAATTTTATGTTTACTTGTAAAGTTTTTGCTTGTTTCGGTATAATAAACAATTTATTGCATTAATGTTCGGGAAACATGAAGATTTATTCAGCCAAGTAATATCATATTCCCTTCGGGCGAAGCCTTCGGGAAATATGAATTTTCTTGGCTGAATAAATCTTCATATTTCCCTCACGATCATGCAATAAATGTATAATATTTTTAAAATATTATTTTTAACCTACCATACTACCTTTGTTTCCGGCTTTAAAAAATACATTAAATATATGAAGATAACCAAAGGTTTTCAAGCAAAAAAGTCTATTAAACAATACAAATTATACTTGTTCAGTAGAGTCTCGAAGTGAGAAAGAATGAGCATTCTCAATAACGACAGCAGCTTCATAGTTTTCAATGTTTATTTTATTAAAAAACGGAAGACAATTATTTCTCTTTAAATCTGCTTATTACTAAGGTTATACGCAACGTACATGTACTTGTACTATCAAATGTACCTTTTCAACTAATAATTTTCCAAGATATTCTTAAATGATTTAAAATCACGGTTCCATCAGAGAAAAAAATCCAGCACACATTTTCAGGAGTTTAAAAGAGATATGGAATAATAAAATCCTTGTGTTTTTAAAAGAAAAATGCACAAAAATTCTACTTTTAGCTGGTATATTCTCAAATTTTGATTCAGAGGAGGTATACAGAATAACCAGGCATCATAACATTGCACAAAGGTCCTTCACTTATTGTAACTTTTAAGTTATATAAATAGTAAGAAGAAAACTTCAAAACTACATTGCGTATGTCCTTAAATACAGTAAAACCAGAATCCCTTTACATCATAGGTCTCGATCCTGCTGGTCCTCTTTTTGAAGCATCCTCGTTCGGGATTAATAAAGGATCTGCTCAGTTTGTGGATGTCATTCACACGGATTCAAGGCCAAATGGTGAGGGGAAAAAAAGGTTTCTTATGCATAACATAATTTTTAGTTCTAATAAATATATAATTAAGAATTAGGAAAATAAATAATTGAGGAACAAACATTTCCTTTTCAAAATTAAAATATTTGAATTTGACATATTAAGAAAATCATACCTTCATAATTTAAAATACTAAACAGGATTGAAATAGATCAATAATTGTCTGTAAAATACCAAAATTAACATTTTTAACGGGAAGATTTTCTCTTCATACAGTGAAAACTAATTTATGTTTCAATCATACAAACACATGTACTCAGGTTATGGAATTCGAAAGCCATGTGGTCATATGGATGTATATGTTAATGGCGGAAGGAGACAACCAGGATGTACCTATAATCCAAAGAGCCCTGTAAACATCCATGACCTTAAAAGTAAGCTCCTCTAACACCATTTTCAAGAGCAAAATACCTTTCATTATATTTTAAATGTTTTTTTTTTTTATTTCCATCTTGTAACTCATTAGCGTAAAATTAATTCATAACGGTCCCTATTTTTTTTAATTTCTCTGTTTTTCATCCTGTAAAACTGAAAAATAAAAAAAAAATGTTATTTTTAGAGGCGACAATCTACAAAGCCTGTGGTCACCTGAAGGCAATTGGATACTACATCGAGACTATAAAGGACAGCTGTAAGTTACGAGCCTGCGAATGCACATATAAAAGATTCCTTGCATCGAAGTGTAGCAGGGACAAATGTGTGTTCTGGGGTGATGACGCGACAAAAACTGCCGCTGGGGCGTATTATGGCGTCACAGCTACGTCCTTTCCGTATTGCAGAACGAATGGAACGGAGTGATGACTTATCCAGCACACAGTTTTTTTTAAAATCGAATTTCTACTCTGCAATCGAACTTTAACTCTTGTATATTTATTTTTTGTATGATGTGCCTATACATCCTACATTCGTTTGACTATTTCCCTACGCTTCAATAAATTGTCTGCATCCAATTGCATTCTGTTTTAAATTATCTGAAACAAGCTAATTATATTTGAATTGAACGTGTTGTCTTTGAAATATACACAATGTGAGTATGTTACAAATAATGTTTTGTTTCTATATTATTCAAAGCTACAAGAGGTTTAATCATTCACGAATGTAACAATTTGAAATTTTGGCTGCCTGCGGGGGACATTCGTGGCGTTACGACACATCTAGTTTTTATCTTAATTTCAGGCATGGTTGAAAATAAAGCTTTGATCAAACAATAAACGAGAGGAATAGAAACCAAAGGGAAAGGGGGTTATAAAACAAAGTTTATAATTATTATCTGTTAAGCACACAATAATATATCTATAAATGTATCGTTCAGCAGATATCACTTGTTTACAAGATTTTACAATGGAGACAGTTTTCAAGGCAATAATGTAGACTTCACTCTAATTTTAAAGTACAAGTTATGAAGTCTAATGTGGAATAAATATAAAAAAGATTGAAAAACGTGCAATAAAGTTGTGTAAAACATGTGATGAAAAAGAATCTCCCTTGATTTGTAATTGGATATGATTTTATCTAACTCTTTGTGTTTTTTTAAACCCCTCACCTAGGTTCAGCGATAATAAAAATACACATACAGACAACTCATTGGACGAAAATCATATCTAACCATAAAACGTGAGATCAGATACAATTGGGAATACAGTATAAGGAATATTGTTTCGGGAATGCGGGAAAATCTGTTTGAAGGTGATAAGTGATCTGAAAGCAAACGATAGGTCATGCATAACGCGGATATGTTAAGGAAGCATACAAATCACTTAGAAATTTAGATTTTTTAAAGAAAATTAAGGTTGATGATTTATCAAAATCGTCGAAAAAACGTAAACTACGCAGTACAGTTAAGGTGCCAAATGGAAATATCGGCGAATTTTTTAAGACAGAAAATACATTCTTTACAAGGATGTGCGATTTTTTTTAGGCCTTTACTATTATCGAACAAATGTAATGTTGCTGAAAACTACATGTTGAGGTCGTTTATATTTCTTATTTAGATTTGTTACGTAATGTGGCAGTCACGTGATTTTAGCAAATATACTTGCAGTATTGAGGTCATCTATATATTCCAATATTGCAAGGGCATAACCAAGTTAAAAATCTAAGTTTAATTTATAATTATTTTCAGCACTCTTTGTAGTTTGTGAAAAGTGCTGCGAACCTATATAGATTCTACTATATAATTGCTAAAATTACATTTGTTAGACCGTATGTTGAATATTTTGCTGGTCAAGTATATTAAATGTAGATATAATTAATTCATTTACAAGATTTCATCAGGTTCGCAGCACTTTTCAAATATATTCATACCTCTTGAGTTTATGTGTAAAAGCTTGTCGTAATTCATTGAGGGTATGCCCTTGTAATATATCAATTCATTACGACCCTTCTATTACCCTTCAATGAATCTGCAAACAAATGTACGGCAGTTTCACTTGTCTAGGGAATGTACGGGAAGTATATGAATAAAATCATAAAATAGACATCGCATCCAAGTTAATGGCCTCTTATATATCTGCAAATAATATTTCATTTGATTACAAAACACATTTTTCATTGTATAAAATATAACTTGATCCGCCTCTCACTGCATACAAACTACGTCAAATTTTACGATATGACATCACATTGACAAAGGCATTGCGATCAGTGAATTGTTTATATATTGCTGTGTGGGATTTAACCAACGACAAAAATACATGCAATAGTAAGTATTGATGTAGTTTAAAGCTATCCAACAGTTTAAAATAGCGTATCATTTCATTTTGTGGTAATTTGTAGAACATGAATTTTTGTGTGATGTCATAGTAAGCATTTCCCGTAAAAAATAGGCCCCGCCTCCTTATTGCAGCCTTAACTGTGCTGCGTATTATTAACTATTGCATAAAGACAACAGAGTGTCGGAGGCCAACAAGTGCACCACAACTACGTCATCACCTGACTACTATTAATAGCAAAATATTCCTTAATAAAAAAGTTAACAGAACAACACTACCACGGGGTTTAAAAATTTCTTTGAGTAAATGATACAGTTGAAAAACATCTCTTATGCCTGAAAAGTGCTGCTAGAATACCACTGTCGGGTCTGGAAAATAATTACATGTATTCCACATTATTGCACGAAACCTTACCCGATGCTTTGCATTATATAGAAATAACTTGAGATATTTCTTCAAACTGTGTTTACCTCACGATTCTAGCAGCACTTTCCAAGTATTATAGAATGCAAGCTTTTGATATGTACAAATCCTATGTTTTGAAGTATCTAGCTAAAGTATTGTTTTTTTTGCATTATTCTTGTCACGAATGACAGAGGAAAGGCCGACCAGGATACGTTAATAGCTGACTGTCTTCAATAGAAGGTATAAATAATCGATGAGAATAAATTAGCATAAATTAGCATATCTGTTTAACAAATTTTAACACCACATGAATCACCCACAATATTCAGGTATTTGCTTCTAAATCCCCTTTTACGTATCTTTCTACATTTCTTCTTAGCCAAATTTTCGTTATACAACATGATCAATTCTCAGGTTACTTGTTGAACAGTTATGACGTCATCAGTGGGGAAATTTAAGTCAAGTAACAGATACAGCATAACAAAGTAAAAACATTTGTATTTTTGTTATTATTTGCAAGTTTCTATTCATTTTCAGAAGTTAAATTATATCTCTAAATAAGAATATTAAGAAAACTTGTGTTCTAAAATTGACATCATCTCGCCTACTATGACGTTCTATTGTATCACTGATTTAGTCAAGTCAGATTATCTTAGTGCTTCCTTAACACCCCTGCGAACCGGCTCACGTGTTCTAAAAATCCTTACTGTATGTGTAGAACATTATCAGAGTACAAAAAATGTGCATAACTTGTAGTGAATAGATGAAATTACATGCATATTTACAAAAACTAATTAAAAAAAAAAATGATCCGCTGAGGTCGAAGGATCCACTCAAAGTTCATTTTTTGATACTGTGATAATCTCAATGACATAAAATGTTTTTAAACCTCTATAAATTTGTCAAATTCAGATGGGTTTTTTTTTGTCCAATTTTGCCCCACAAGCTATGACATATTTGCTTGTATTTTGCATATAAAAACATTTCTTTTGGAACATCATAAAAGATAAAAAGAGCAACATTTTATATGAGTGAGCAGAGGGTTTATGAACCCTAAAGAAAATGTCTAAAATCTTCGATCGTTTCTTTTTGTTTCATTTATTATGTTTTATTTGTGTTTTCAGATTTTTTTTATAAAGCTTATTAGGAAATCGTAACTTACATAGAATAATTACACTTCCGAATTTCTTTTTTATTTTACTAACAAAAGAAAAAAAAAATGGATTTGAATGCCATTTCTTGTACAGTTATTTGCGCATAGAAACTCTAATAGATGTGTCTTCACAATGGAACTTCCAAAATTATACCAAAAATGGAAAGGTACTTGAAAGCAGAAAATTCGTATCTGGAGTGCATTTTATGTGTTTTCAAACATGTAAAATATAAATATATATAAAATTCTATTGGTGTGTAAATCATAGACACTTGTCATGCAGGCGAGAGCGCTATTAATGAAATAAGCACATTTGACAAATCTCTGTGATCTGTACAATAATACCGATAAAACTTACAAATCCTTAAAACCACTATGCATATTTGAAGTATATCTGCTAATCATTTATTTCATAAAATATATCTTTAATATATACTTTTCTACGAAACTAAACGAAAGAAAAGTTTCATGCAAGTATAGATCAATTAACGTCAAATACCTTTTTCCTTGAACTGACGGAATAAAAAGAAAACAATTTATCATATGTTTTCCATGGTTTGTACAATGCAAAACTTTGCCATGGGTCATAATTCTGTAAAGAATACATATTAATAAGTGTTGATAATTTATCCATTTATGACTAATGTTTGAATTCTCATAAAAATGATGCCTTAATTTCATGAATTCTTACATTTTGGGAGATCAAAGATCAAGTCATAGAGAATAAGCTTTTGATGCTCTGAATTCAGTAGTGTATATTGATTTGATTAGTGGCATGATCAATTAGGAAACGGACAGACCCAGAGTCATGTTAAGAGAAGCAGATCCCATAAGTGTTCATGGACATATACAAATCATCCCAGGGGATTTTCCCCCCCATTTTTCTTGTTTTACGATTTATTCTCCCTTATATTCATAATCTGTCCAAAGTGAAAATGGAAATAAATAAATAATTTATATATTAAAAAAATAATAACAAAATGTGTTAGATTTTTTTTATTTTCCCTATCCACGTGACTTGGCTTTTGTCCCCTGCTTTCGCGAAAACGAGGGGGCATAAAATCTCATTCATCTTTTAGTCTGTCTGTCCGTCTGTCAGTCTTTCTGTCTGTCACAGAAACTTTAACCTTGGTCATAAATTTTGAAGGAGAAGAGATAGGGCGTTCATATTAAATATGTATATCACATGTACCTGTGACAAGACCTTTCCATATACAGGTATACTATAATTTTTTACCCCGTGACTTTGAACTTGAACGACTTTGTAACAATTTAACAGTACTTTAAATTGGTCATAAAATCGGAATTAGAAAAGATAGGGTTTTCATTATACCTATGTACATTATCTGTACGGTAGAGCAAATCAAGGAACATAGAAGATGAATTCCATTTGTTTTAAAATGCACGTTATAATGCATTAAGACAAAAATACATAAAAAGCTACTAATCCCGAAGACCAAGTGTCTTCAGTTTGGTACAATTATTAGTTCACAAAATCTGGAAGAATTGTGTAATCTAGGAAAATTTTTGTAATTAGCAAGTGAACAAAAACAATGTCTTTCACTAATTTATAAATTACGCAGCAATGTTAAGTCTTCCCGAAGCTTTAAATGCGTTCAAAACATAACACTGCATTGCAAGGTCGATTTTTATTTTTATTTGTAAGTTATGTACTCCAGGA